ATTCTTCTCTTGAAGAACTTTCAGATGAGACACCTCCAAAGAAGTATAAATCTTTAACTGACATATATGCATCATGTCAATTTGCTCTTACTGTTTCAGATCCTATGTGTTATGACGAAGCAGCTGAAAAAGAAGAGTGGAAGAAAGCCATGGTAGAAGAGATGCAGTCCATTGAGAAAAATGGAACATGGGAGATGGTTGACTTACCAAACGGAAAAAATGCAATCAATTTGAAATGGGTGTTCAAGACAAAATTTGCACCAGATGGAAGCATACAAAAGCATAAGGCCCGTCTTGTAGCAAAAGGGTATGCACAACAACAAGGTATAGATTTTGAAGAAACTTTTTCTCCAGTAGCTCGTTTTGAAACTGTAAGAACTATTCTAGCATTAGCAGCAGAATTGCGGTGGCCAGTTTATCAGTTTGATGTTAAGTCAGCATTTCTTAACGGAGATTTACAAGAAGAGGTTTATGTAGCACAACCAGAAGGATTCATAAAGAAGGACAAAGAAACAAAGGTATACAAGTTGAGAAAGGCACTATACGGATTAAAGCAGGCCCCTCGAGCTTGGTACAGCAAGATTGATGGGTATTTTCAAAAGAAAGGTTACATGAGAAGTGAGAATGAGCCTACTTTATATGTGAAGAAGGAAGGTAAAAGTGATTTCATCATTATTTGCCTCTATGTTGACGATATTATTTACACTAGCTCTTCTAACTCTCTTTTGGATAAATTTAAGTCTCAAATGATGAGTGAATTTGAGATGTCAGATATGGGTCTATTGCACTATTTTCTTGGTCTTGAAGTATATCAAGTTGAAGATGGAATTTTTATTTCACAAAGAAAATATGCCAAAGATATTATGAGTAAATTTGGTATGCTTAATTGTAAGCCTGCAGCTACACCTATGAATATTAATGAGAAATTACAACATGATGATGGAGCAGAAATGACAGATGCTAGAAGGTTCAGGAGCTTGGTTGGCGGACTGATTTACTTAACTCACACACGACCCGACATTGCATTTCCTGTTGGTATTATTTCTAAGTTTATGCAACATCCTTCAAAGGTTCATTATGGAGCAGCAAAAAGAGTCTTACGTTACATTGCCGGAACTATGGAGTATGGAATTTGGTATTCTAAATCCTCTAATTTCAAACTATATGGATTCACTGATAGTGATTGGGCAGGATCATTAGATGATAGACGAAGCATTTCAGCCAATGTTTTCACTTTAGGGTCAGGAGCGATCACTTGGAGCTCAAAGAAACAAGCAACAGTGGCGCTGTCAACATCAGAAGCAGAATATGTTGCAGCAACTTCAGCAGCGTGTCAAGCCATTTGGCTAAGAAGAATGTTAGCTGACCTTCAACAAGAGCAAAAAGGGACAACAAAGATATTTTGTGATAATAAAGCAACTATTTCTATGACAAAGAACCCAGCGTTTCACAGTAGAACAAAACATATTGAACTTCGACATCACTATATTCGTGATCTTGTTGCAGACGAAGAAATTGTCTTGGAATATTGTAACACCGATGAACAGCTAGCAGACATACTTACCAAGGCTTTGTCAAAAGAAAAGTTTTGCTACTTCAGACGATTACTTGGCATTTGCAACTTTGAATCAAGGGGGAGTGTTGAGATATGATTCAAAATGAAGATATGATTCAAAATGAAGATATGATTCAAATATTCAAACTATGAGATTTTTAGGAGATTGTTAGTAGATTTAAATTCTTTCTAGATTTCGATGATTTACTATTTCTGGTCCAGTGTATAAGCTATAAATACTGGAATTGTGTAAGCCTCTATGCATCAAGTCAGTAGACAATAATAAAGCATCGCAGCATTCATCTATTCTTATCTCTTTCACTATCCCTCTTTCCAACAGAATACTATAAGAGTAATCTCTTTTACAGCACTTTGGGTTCTATCTGTGCCATCCCTGATTGTATATTTAGAAAATTGCGGGAATTTCTTATGTTTATTTCACTTGATTGCACAAAACTTGAACTTCTAGGAGAGGGGAATAGCAAGTCCTTGCCTAGTAAATCAACAGAGAATCTAGGTGCTTCCCGTCGAAGGAAAAAGGGAAAGATCCGGAAATCACAGAATCCTGTGCCGAAGCCATGTGTAGGTGATTTATCATGCAATAAATTTCATAAGGTAATTTTGTTTTGAAGCGTAAGAAATATTATATTATGGACTTATCTGCTTGATTTGAATTTAACCAATTGATGTAGCCTCAGGATTTTGACAAGGAGTGTGCTCATAAAGGGAGAGAAGATATGATGGAATCCACAACGCCTATTTTGTCCAAGGGAAATGATACTTGCAGAGAAATGTCAGCAGAGGTATCGAAAACGGTTGATTTGGCTTTTGTTTATTTATTTGTTGTTTAATGAGTTTTTATATGTATTATATATCTAAGTACTGGCTTGAATGCATTGTAACCAGTTGCCTGTCAACAGGTACATGACCATATAATGAGTGTTGGAAAAAATCAAGGTCCTACAAGGAAGAAGAAAAAACACAAAAGTAAAAACTCTGGTGGGAACAACAGATTAGTTGAAATAATACCTTCTGAAGGGCCAACCGCTAAATTCTCCTCTCCATCTTTTAGTTCTCAGGATCAGGTAGCAGAGTTGGATAACAGGTTCAGAAAACCTTTCATTTCAAATATCAAGAATGATAGTTCAAATAATTATGACAGTTTAACTTCAAACTCAAGTCCTATAGTTCCCTCTAGTGAGCCTAATAGAGAGTATAACAGTAACCAAAATGTTGAAGTACATGAAATTTCTGGGCTAACGGAATCTGTCTGTCACGTTGGTCCTGGAGAATCTCAGTTCCCAAAAGGAATAATTGAAAATCAATGCGTATCATCTACATTAGTTCCTTCTCATTTGCCTTCATTGGAGCTAAAGAATATTGTCAAAAGCGATGTCAATGTGAATGGCTCTGTGCAATCTTGTGAATTACGAGAAAAATCATCTTTGTTAGATAAACTTCCGAGAACTTTTGATATACAGGAGAAATCATGCCTATCTCGAGATCAATTTAGTGGTGACATTTGTAATACTAGGACCTTGAATTCTTCGTTCAATTCACATCTCCCGCCTGCTACTGATAGATTACATTTAGATGCTGGTCATAATTGGCACAATCATTTCCGCCGGTCTTTCACACCTGCAATGCATCAACCAAGAAGTTCTTCTGTTAAAGGTGGTTGCAATCCAATTCTGACTCGACCACTGTTAATGAGTCTAGATTGGCCCCCCGTCTTACGAAGTGCTTCTGGCTTGGCTTCAACAATGACGTCAAATCATGATTTTGGGTTTCTTCCTAGGAGACAATCTACTTTTCGGCAGGGGTTCCCTACTAACGGCAATCAGATTAGTACGGAAGATGAAAAGTACTCTGGTAATCTCACTGATTTTCCTGATTTGTCAAATAATCAGGACCTAGCAGATGAGTGTGATGGGAACTGGATATCGGAGGAAGAATTGGAAATGCATGCAGTTTCTGGGTTAGACTACAATCAGTATTTCGGTGGTGGTGTTATGTACTGGAATCCTTCTGATCACCATGGGACAGGGTTTTCTCGACCTCCTTCTCTTAGTTCTGATGATAGCTCATGGGCTTGGCGTGAAGCTGACATGAATCGGACTGTTGATGATATGGTTGCTTTCTCTTCTTCTTACAGTAATGGATTGACATCCCCAACTGCTACGTCATTCTGTTCTCCTTTTGATCCACTGGGATCTGGAAAACAGGCGCTTGGTTATGTGGTGCAAGGACCTGATCTACCCACCAACATGCTTCATTCCTCACTGACTATGAATGATTCGGTGACAGAGGAGGATGCTCCTAGATCTTTGGCAAATTTGCCTAGTGATGTTGAAGGGAAGACAGGAGACTCACATCCATTTCCAATGTTGCCGCCTATTGTTATTCCAAATATGTCTAGGGAAAGATCAAGATCTGAGTTCTGCCATGGTTTTGACCATAAAAGCCCATGCATCCCTCCCACTAGGAGAGAGCAATCTCGAGTAAAGCGACCACCATCTCCTGTAGTTCTTTGTGTTCCACGGGCACCAATACCACCTCCACCTTCTCCTGTAAGCGACTCCAGGAAGCACAGGGGATTTCCTACTGTTAGATCTGGTAGCTCAAGTCCAAGGCATTGGGGTGTAAAGGGTTGGTATCCTGATGGAACTAATTTGGAAGAAGCGTGCTTACATATTGATGGTGCTGAAGTTGTCTGGCCTAATTGGAGAAATAAAAGTAATTCTAATTGCTCGACAGTTCAACCTTTATCATTAATAGCAATGTCCCAGATAGCTCTCGATCAGGAGCATGTGAGTGCAACCACAATCCAAATATTTGAGCTATGTACTGGGTCTGAAATTTCCTTACAATTAATTTCTTTTGCAGCCAGATGTTGCGTTTCCTCTCTTTCCCCCAACAACAAGCTGTCCTGTAAAAAAGGAATCTCTTTCTTTGATGCATAGCCGCCTAAATGATGAGATCAACTCTTTCTGCAAGCATGTAAGCGCTCTCATTGTTGCTAGTGTTTTGTATTTCCTAATTGGAATTTATGCAATTGAATGTTGTCACTGACCATTCATGGGATATGTGTCAAATGGGTATACAAGGTTGCTGCAGAAAACATGACTAAGAAGCCTTACATCACATGGGCTGTTAAACGGGTCACGCGGTCCCTTCAAGTCTTATGGCCCAGGTCCAGGACAAACATTTTTGGTTCAAATGCAACAGGTTTATCCCTTCCCACGAGTGATGTGGACCTTGTGGTTTGTCTGCCTCCAGTGAGAAATCTGGTAAGTGCATCACTTCAGTTGCATCCATCACGCCTCTTTTCTGCTTTTTTGCTTATATCAAGCCTTGCTGTTGTTATATTTTAGGAACCTATTAAGGAAGCTGGGATCCTAGAAGGGCGTAATGGCATTAAAGAAACCTGCCTTCAGGTATGTTTATTCATATCTCAAGGAATTGAATATGAGATTGCATCTCGTAACTGTTTATTCTTATCTCAAGGAAAGGATGATTTTGTATTGTTAAAAAAAAAAAATCAGTTTTTTATTGTAGTACAAGTAAATCGAATCTTAGTTATTCGTAAAAATTAGTAGCATCAGCATGATGGACATCGATTCCTCTTGTTGCATTGGAGTTTCTAATACCCTAGAGCTGTCCAATTTTTCCTTTGTTTATTTAGATAAGTTCAAGAGGTTTTTTGTTCTTTTCGTGAGGTTTGATTGACCCCTAGTTTTGTGGTGGTTTCTTGTAATTTTGATTCTTCTTTATTGTATCTGTTTCTTATCGGATGAACAGAAGGAAGTCAGTTGTCTTATTATCTAAAACATGTTAAAATACCATGATGAATAGATTCGACTAATGAAGTAAAGGGTGATGAAGTGTGATGTTAATTTGTGCTCTCAAGATAAGTTCTGAAAGAATCTCTGCATTTCTTTAAATATATGCCAATGATGCCTAAAAATCAGAAAAGAACAATAAGAATGAAAGAAAAGAAACGGAGCTTCTTTCTTTTCATCTCTTAATAAGAGAATTCTTGACAGGGCACTAGTAAAGTGTATTCTTTCTTTTTGAACAAGAGACAAATTTTGCGTTATAAACGAGAAGTTAGAAAAATGTTCAAGTATACAAGTGAAAAGAAAACCAAACAAAAAGAAAAAAAAAAGTGAAAAGAAAAGAAAAAAAGTATTATCCAAATAATACGTGAGCCAAAAAATAAAGAGTTAAAGAACAAAATATCTATGAAGACACCAACCACTAACGAACCAAAACTACCAAGACTACTCCCACCAAGCTGCAAATCTGCTGACCAGAAGAAAAAACAACCAGAAACCAAATTTGGAAAGTGAATTAATTCCTACTGCACAACCTCAAAAAAGAAAAAAAGAAAAAAAGAAAAAAAAAAAAGAACCCTATCAGGCTATATTAGCTTAAAAAACTGAAAAGTAGACTTCCTCGATAAAGGTATAGTTCAAAATTTGGATAGAGAGAAAACGGAGGAACCCTTTCACGAACTTCTAACCAATTAAAGAAAGACTCCAGAGAGACAAGGCAAGTTAGATATGATTATAAATAGTATATATAGAAGTATTAAGTGCAATGCTAACAAATATAATTGGTTTAAAAGTTAGAGCAAAATCCTATTGTCTAATTCAAGGAAATATTCTGTCGTTGAGACATGAGTGGTAAAAAAAAATGTGATATTAAAGGAAGTACCAGTTGGTTTAATCTCCCTTTCCCATCCGCATATTTTTAATCTCCCTTTCCCATCCGCATATTTTTATTTATTTGTCAAGTACCAGTTATCCGCTTGATGTGATCTGCAATGCATTTGATATGCATTTAATCAAATGTGTGCAAATGGTGATAAAATGTGGCGTGCATTGAAACAAAAAGTGATATGCATTGAAACAAAAAGAGATATGCATTGAAACAAAAAGGCTCACAGAATATCACTTGACTCTACTGCCCAAGTATAAATAGATTGCGTTGGCAAATAATACCTGGGTTCTCTTGGGTCGATTCCACAGGGAGTTTGACACTTTTGATTCATAAAGAGAAGATTGACAAGCAAAAATACAGACTACAAAATAGCCCGATTTATAAAAAGTAGTTTGGTTTGGTGATGGAACGGAAATGAAAATAAATTAAGTAATAAATGGATATTAACTCTGAATAACGGCACAATGCTTGGCTCTTTAGCTACCTATGGTGAACCTTTCCTATTCAAGGAGTCCTACAAGTGCCTCCCCCTTCCAGTATTGCACTATGCTAAATAGGTAGTTAGATTCCTTTGTGCTACTCTTGTTCATTAAACACTGCATAAATGTGCTACTACTTTGTATCAGTTGCCCAAACTGATAAAAGTAATTTCAACACACTTTCAAGTAGAAGAACACCAAGAATTTTTGGAGAAATTTTCAGCAAATACAAAATAAGAGTAGCTCAAAATAGGGGCCTTAAATCAAACCTTACAAAAACAGAGAAACTTTATAGAAGTGGTAATCTTCCTCTCCAACACTACGAGGGTGGTTCTCACTCCTCCCTTGCGTCCCCTCAGGCGAAGACTTGCTGCTCCGACTCCACAACAAGGTTACCATGAAAACCCCTATTCTCTCAGACAAGCCTTAAGACAATTCTCTCAAAAACTCCTATTAGAAAAATAAGTTTCCCTCCTTTCGCGAAGAAATGACTCCACAACAAGGTTACCATGAAAACCCCTATTCTCTCAGACAAGCCTTAAGAGAATTCTCTCAAAAACTCCTATTAGAAAAATAAGTTTCCCTCCTTTCGCGAAGAAATGACTCCCTATTTATAGGCAAAGCTTACCATGGATCTCAGCGCATTTTCATCTCCACACACACTGAATATCACGTGGAAGAGGACAAAACGGACCAGACGTAGGTTAACAACTCTGCAACAGTAACACACACTATGATACGATCGTTAGGAGCCTTTGTCTCTTGTCAGAGTAGACGTGATCTCCTCTTTGTGTTTAGCGCAGTATGCCTTGCGACGAAGGAATTGTCCTCATCTCGACGCATTTGTATGCTTTCCTAGCACAACATTCGCTGGCGTGCCTTAGATCTCGCACGACTTCCTCCCTTTTCCTTCTTTCTTTCATGCGCTTGACATCCCTTTTTTTGACGCATTACCATTGCGTTGAGGGTTTCAGGCCAGTTCTTTGGATGATAACAATGTGGAAGAATCCTATGCAAATGCTTTTATTTCCTTATTTCAGTCGCATTCAAAATCGAAGAAGTTAAAGAGTTACTTCCAAATCACATCTCAGAATCTCAATGTCTTTCTTCAACTTCTATTTCTTGCAAGTTTTCATCTTTAATCGAGCTTTGTGGTTTACAAACGCATGAAATTGCTTCGTTAAATGCCTTAGGAAAATGCTAAGAAGATTCACAAGGAATGCCTTAGCGAACCGTTGCATTTTGATATTTCAACGGCCTTCATAATTGGGGTTTATTGGTTGTTAGAATATTTGGTGAAGATGTTCAACTTGATTTTTAATTAAGGCTTTTTTCGCTTCTAGTCTTTTTTCAAGAAGTTATTTTAGGTGCCTTGATCATTGGGAATTTCTGATTGTTTCTAAGGCAACATTTATTAAGGTTCTCTCGTTGTTTTCAAGGCAACACTATTATTGCTTTTGGTTCATGATAGTATTAATTTCGGTCCTTGGAACTAACAGAATTTTCTATCGAATTTTTCATTGACTCTTCATTATCTTCATCGCCGTTGGAGTTAAGGAATAGTTTCTATTGTTGCCTTGCTTAAATAGTTCTTGGTGGGATCTCTATTAATGGAGATTATTTGGAAAATTACTCATTTATTAGGCCCCATGCATAAAGAGTGGCTAGTGGTTAAGAAACATTTAATTCTGTTATGTTGGATTGTGGTGGTTAAAGTCCTTTGTTGGTGTTTCTTTTCATGGCTCTTCATCCTATTTATGATTTCTCAAATTCCTATGTTGTATTTGAGGAGCAAGTTGTCTCTTTTATGATTTTGATCGACATGGTTAGAAGATTCTGCATGGACAATTTGTTTGGGAAGAAATCAAAAGATTTTCAACTACGAGAATCCTCTTTGGTCAGATCTGTTCGTTTCGGCCCGTTTGAAGGCCTCTTCTTTGTGTGCTTTCATCAATCTCTTTGCTGGACATTCTATCCAAGATTCATGTCTCATTTGACATGCTTTTATTTTTCCTTTGTAATCTTTTTATTTTCCTATTATTCAGTCCCTTGTAGAGTTATTAACTTTGGAGCATTGGTCTCTTTTCACTTAATCAATGAAAATTTTCGTTTTTTTGTTGGGGGAAAAAAAAAACTGAATTTCCTTATTACCCCTATTCCTATCAAGTATTTTCACATTCTCAAATATTTTTGTATGAAATTGACTTCAAAGAAAGGTTTTGAGTGATTGAATTCTTGACGTATCATCACTAGTTAACTCGATAAGTTTGTGTAGCTTTAGCTACAAGATGAGCTTTCAACCGGCTACAAATCCATCGAAATTGACTTTGGCTTTAAATACTGTGTCGGAAGAGAAATTAAATCCCAAATACAGTTGTCATCTAAGGCAGACATCTCCTCTACCATTGAAATACATCTACCCGGATGAAACAAAGCTTCATGAGTAGTCTTAGGAACAAATACAGGCTGTAGGGGTGCTATGAATGAACAGGTAAAAGAAGACCAATGGTTATATGAATCAAAATAGGAGATAGGATAAGTGCACTGACGTTTTCCGTTATAAAGAGCAATAGGATGATCATTGCTTGTTTCAGGATCCAAGGACGAAGAAGCCTCTAGTAGAGAGCATGAAACTGAAGGGGGAGGCCGAAGCGAACAAACCTGAGTGATAGGTGGGTGAGAAAAACATGTACAACTGGAAGTGAATCATTAGAGGAACAGAAAAGGAGAGTATTGTAGATAAGAAAATGATCTTCCTCTTTATCCTCCCCATGACTCTTCAACACTGAAATAAACAGATGACCCAAATGACAACGTTTTCAAAAGGAAAAGACACTTTAGAGCATGTAATGACAATGGATATTTTTGGTTCAAATACGTAGAAGACCTCAAGATTCACTCCTTTTCCCAATATTCTCTGTCATAAGATCCTAAATAAACACAACAATGTAGATTGAGTGAGTTTACCAACAAAAATCAAGTTAAATGAGAATGGTTGGTAAACTTTGAAACAGAGGACAAATGAAAGTGAGCTGGTAAGATTGACACTGTCTGATCTGAAACAGGAGAGATGGTTTCATTTGCTAGTAACAATAGGTGAAGATTTAAATGGAAAATTATTTGAGAATAAATTAAAATTACTTGTCATGTGATCGGAAGTGCCTATTTCAAAGAGGAGGCAAGAAAAAATTTAGATATGTTACTTGTATAGGTGATGACAATAGTAGGAGAAGATGATGATGTCATAATTTTGTAGACTCAATCAAAATTGTACCATATTTGTTAGGGTTGTTAAATATACGGGCAACATATGCAGATTGAAACTTTTTGCCCTTATTCAACAATTGTAACATTCACGTTTTATATGTCCTAACTTTTAACAATTGTGATAAACAATATCCCTTGAATTTAATTTTTGAGTGTTAGGATTTCCTCTAGATGTGGTCAATCCTTCCCCTCTATGGTCTCTAGACTTATTTTTTTGTCCAACCAAAACACTATCAGACTTAGATGACAAGATTGCTCGAGACTTCTTTGTACGAAGTATTCGAGTATAAGAGTGTGCCAATGGTGAGATGTCTGAGCTACAATAGACTTGACTTTTTGACTGTATCATATTTAGAGGCAAGACCAAATAAAAAAACCATAATAAACAATGGCTCACGTTAGGTAGTCTGAACTTTTACAATAGTACTATCTAGCTGTCGAACATTAATTCGGGATATGTTCTCTTGCACTCACCAAACAATCTAATAATGTTTCCCTTTTTGGTCTGAAGAGATTTCAAGCATTTTTATAGCTCTTTGTCAGACTCACTATGATTAATTAGTCTATCTATCTTGCTCTCAATTAAATTATTTCTCTGTAGAATAATCCTAAGACACAAAAATCCAATGATAAACAAATGATTCCTAAACTCCAAACCTTAAGTTTACAAAAACCTACTTAACCTAAAGCCCTGATACCATGTAAACACTAAAGGTTGAGAGAATCAAAATACTCTATTCTATTTACTAAAGATGCTAATATACATTTGTACAAGGATAAAGATAACAAAACTAATTTATTTACAAAAATGTAATTATACTAATGTAATAACCATAACACAATTTATAAAGATGCGTTTGGATTGGTTGCAGAAGCTGCTCAACTGTAGCTTTACGACAAAGAAGTGCATTCTCAGTGTCACATGGGTCACATTTATATTATTCTCTCTCTCTTTAATACAATTCGCTTGGCTGTTGTGTGTAGAAGTTTAATATACATTTTGGCTTCTTCCAGCATGCAGCCAGATATCTTTCCAATCAGGAATGGGTAAAAAGTGATTCCTTAAAGACGGTGGAAAATACTGCTGTAACAGCCTTCTATATCTAAACTATTTAATTAATTCTGTGTTGTTAATAATAATTATTCAGTACATTTACTCATCAGTTTATTTTTTGCGTCAGATACCTATTATCATGCTTGTTGTTGAAGTTCCCCACGATCTCATTGCTTCATCCACTTCAAATATGCAATCATCCAAGGAGGAGTCCTCTGCCGTATCTGGGGAACAAGATGTCAACCTTCTTAATGATATGGCTAGTTTAGAAGATTCTGCGCTGCAAAAATGTTTGGTGGTGAAATATGATTCCTCATCTAGCACCAAGTCAGTTCGTATTGACATCAGTTTCAAGACTCCATCACATACGGGACTCCAAACTTCTGGGCTGGTAATCCATATTTGGAACATAGCATACTTCACTTTCTGAATTTTATCATAATTGTTTGTGATTTTCTGAACATTCCAATTATGATTTTCGGAACATTCCATTTAAAGTCATTTTTCTTATAAAAAAGGAAGAAGAAGAAGAAACAGTGAACTTGATATTCATACTGCTATTTAATGGAATTGAAAGTTTGTTTGTGGTCTGAATTTCTCAAAGACAGAGGACGCAGCTTAACCTAGTATAATAATTATTAAGTCTTTATAAGTATTATCTCTAGTGGAATCTGCCGGTTATTATCCTTAACTAAAACAATCTTTGACTGGGAGTTAAACTAACAAATTTTTACTAGAATCAATTAACGATCTTTTCCCATCAGTTCTTTCATATGGGATTTTGTTTAATTATATCATTATGAGATGATCTCGTTTGTTAAATGCTTTTTATTTTTGCTTTTGTTTTTATTTACTTTTATAATTTTTAAATATAGACTTATGCTTTGAACCTTTATTAGCTTGGATGACAAGTATTTGGTTATGGATGCTTTTGTCTTCCATTCCTCTTCTTTCTATGTGATTTCTAATTTCTTAGTTTTCCCTTGCTTTGCAACTATTTTTCTTCTCTCAATTCAATTCTTATATAATGAGCAGAAAAAGGGATAATGTTATGTTGTTGGAACATTGAGCATTTTTCTTTTTCAACCAAGAATAAACTTTATGTTTATAATTTAAAAAGTGATAAGTTGTGAATTAATGTTCAAAGAACAAACTGTTGCATACAAGGATCGACTCCTGAATAGAGCTTTCACCAAAATTCACCCCGTTCGATTTTTTTTTTTTTTTTTTTTTTTTTTTTTTTTTTTTTTTTTTTTTT